ATTGTCCGATTTGCTGCCTTGAAAATAATTAAGACAGTGATTGAGACAACTGGAAAACGATGCATGTATTAGTGAAAAAGTGTTGGTTCCCCTTTCAATTTTCAATACACTCACACTTTTACACTAGCACACTAGTATTTATTACTTGAATGAGCAACTTGCTTTCAATTTTTCCCTTTCAATTGAGTTTAAATTTTCATCAGCGTACAGCATTGGTATGGGAATTTTGTGAAAATAAAAAAATACTAAGCTTTTGCATGCTAAATTTAAATCTACAAAGGAACTAAAAATGGAAAATGGTCTTCAGAAGATAGTTAGTTACAGTGTTTTCTCGAAGACGACATGTTGATAATGAAACTTCTTCCCAAATTTAATGCAGCTTTCGTAATGGCTTTAAATTTTGGTGATATTTGACAAGCAATGTGTGTGAGGATATTGAAAGGCAAAACTGATTGTGCGTCGTCAGCGTAAGTTATCACCAAGGAGATCGTGTGAACTCAATCGATAGCTTTCGTAGCCTTGTGTAGGTGTGTATTCCCAACAAACATTTAGGTTTGAGCTCAACTTGAGGTTAAGTTGAGAACTAAGGCATTTCTCAAATCTAAGACGTTGTTTCTCAACAGTTACTCAAGTGGAGGATCATAGCGTTCTCAACAAAAAGGGCATTTTCCTTGTATGAAAAAAGGACTGTTTCTCAAGTTGAGAAAATGCTAGTTCTTAGAGCTGGGATACTATCGATAGTTGAAAACTGTTTTTATAAACTATCGATGTCGTTTTTAGCAAGACTTCACAATGTCTCTTCTTTACATCTCTACACATTACATTAATTTTTTTATGCAAGAAAATTCACAACACAGTCGGAAAAAAAATTTTAAGTCATTGGGATTTTTAGCAACTATAAGCTTGCACTGAGTTATAGTAAAATTTAATAAGCTATAAAACTGCTTACACAAAATTTTTATAGAAACTCGAATTAAAAAGCTTGAATTTTTAAATATTTTGTAGTTTGTTATGTTTGTTTGTTTATAAAAAATTAGAATACACTAAATAAAAAAAAAAATAGTCAAAAGTGCTAAAAAAAGTAGTTATGCTTTTATTTTGAGCATNTTATGACAATTCCTTTTGAGCAAAATATGACGTGAACGTTGAATTATAATACGCATTTCGCACGAGCTATTTAAGCTAAAAACTAAAAAATAATAAAGAAGGGACAAAATTACAAACATATCAACGTCTCCTGTGTTATTTTAGAACTTTTGTTATGAATTTCTCTCCTTTCTTGCACAAGACGTCAAAATTATTGTTTGCATACGTCAAATCATTGTCCGATTTGCTGCCTTGAAAATAATTAAGACAGTGATTGAGACAACTGGAAAACGATGCATGTATTAGTGAAAAAGTGTTGGTTCCCCTTTCAATTTTCAATACACTCACACTTTTACACTAGCACACTAGTATTTATTACTTGAATGAGCAACTTGCTTTCAATTTTTCCCTTTCAATTGAGTTTAAATTTTCATCAGCGTACAGCATTGGTATGGGAATTTTGTGAAAATAAAAAAATACTAAGCTTTTGCATGCTAAATTTAAATCTACAAAGGAACTAAAAATGGAAAATGGTCTTCAGAAGATAGTTAGTTACAGTGTTTTCTCGAAGACGACATGTTGATAATGAAACTTCTTCCCAAATTTAATGCAGCTTTCGTAATGGCTTTAAATTTTGGTGATATTTGACAAGCAATGTGTGTGAGGATATTGAAAGGCAAAACTGATTGTGCGTCGTCAGCGTAAGTTATCACCAAGGAGATCGTGTGAACTCAATCGATAGCTTTCGTAGCCTTGTGTAGGTGTGTATTCCCAACAAACATTTAGGTTTGAGCTCAACTTGAGGTTAAGTTGAGAACTAAGGCATTTCTCAAATCTAAGACGTTGTTTCTCAACAGTTACTCAAGTGGAGGATCATAGCGTTCTCAACAAAAAGGGCATTTTCCTTGTATGAAAAAAGGACTGTTTCTCAAGTTGAGAAAATGCTAGTTCTTAGAGCTGGGATACTATCGATAGTTGAAAACTGTTTTTATAAACTATCGATGTCGTTTTTAGCAAGACTTCACAATGTCTCTTCTTTACATCTCTACACATTACATTAATTTTTTTATGCAAGAAAATTCACAACACAGTCGGAAAAAAAATTTTAAGTCATTGGGATTTTTAGCAACTATAAGCTTGCACTGAGTTATAGTAAAATTTAATAAGCTATAAAACTGCTTACACAAAATTTTTATAGAAACTCGAATTAAAAAGCTTGAATTTTTAAATATTTTGTAGTTTGTTATGTTTGTTTGTTTATAAAAAATTAGAATACACTAAATAAAAAAAAAAATAGTCAAAAGTGCTAAAAAAAGTAGTTATGCTTTTATTTTGAGCATTACTATATTCGTTTTCTTATAATATGGTAAAATGTTAATAATTCCCCTTGTCCGGATTTTGATATGCGCCTCTGTATTTGATCTCAGTTGAACTTTTATAAGTATGAGTTGTCAATTTAAACGAATATCTTTTATTTTGTTTGTTTTGCAGTATTATAAATGTATTTCTATAGCCAATTTCATTTCTTTGCACTTCAAAAGGGACAAACAAAGTCCGAATTCAATTTTGCCATATAAAAAATAAATTCAGATTTGGCCTGTCGCTATTCAAGGGGATGCAAGTGTATGTATATATATTATATCAGTTCAGACGCATAAATTAATAAGTTTGATTTATTTTTATAAGAAGTTATTTTTGATGCACTCAAATTAAAAAACATTATACAATCTCTTTAGTTTACAAAGTAATTTATAAATTTTATAAATTTATTAATTATTTAATTTTCAAGCAATTGAGCGCTTCAATTCAATACCTTTCAAACTATCGAGTGGCGGTGCTATCGATAGTATCCCAGCTCTACTAGTTTTCAACTTGAACTCCAATATAATTATCCAAGTGGTCTCAAACATCATATCATTGAAATGATGAAATTTAAATAGTAAAATACCTTATACATTTTTGATTGAAACGACATACATAGATGAATTTGAATATTAATTTTTCATTTTATTACTCCTTTTGTATTATGTAGTTCAGGCTTTCCTAAAGTGGGTGCCGCTAGTGGCTGGGGGATACTAGTGGTGTGGGCAAACTCTTAAAACTTCCCATACACAACACAAATGGCTGGCAGCAAAGGGATATTTCGCTTGGTTTGTCAAGCCGCTTGTGTGGTGTATTTCGTTCTTAAGCGTAGTTCCCCAGTACGTTTTGTCAACGAAAAATTAAATCTGAAAATTTTCAGAAAAATAGCCGAAAACGTACCCTTTTCACATCCGTTTTCGGTACTTTTGTAGACCTAATCAGCGTTTCATCCACTTTTCTTTCCGTTTTCGGATTTTTTGCTTGCTGGGCTGTTTTCGTAAAAAGCGCAGCAGCTTCACGCTCGTGTACATATATGTTAGTTATTCTTTGGAACTTCACAATCATACTGTGAAAGAGCGAATCAACACGATTTTAGAGGCAGTCGAAAAACGAACTTATAAAAAAATTGAAAACATGTTAATTTTTTAGTTTGCAACTTGAAGTACCGACGTAGTGGGACTTAATGTTCTTCTCGTGTTAGTGAAGTACCCATTCGCAATGCAAATCGAAGAAGAACTTTTGATGAGCAAAGCACTTGGGACTTGCACCACTAGCGACGAAATTTTGTGCAGAAAAATGGTTTGAAATGGAGCAAGTGTGCGGATATTTGCAGTGATGGAGCAGGAGCGATGTCTAGGATGAAGCAAGGGCAGAAAACGTCACTGGATGATCCCTCGGTATTCCCTGGCGACTAGGAGGACGCCGCCACTAGATTTAAAACCCGTATTGGATGACGCTGCGAAGATAACAGAGGCCTGCGAGGCTAGAATACATCTTTGGTTTTTTTCTTGCACGTCGAGCTTTTTTATTGGTCACATGTATATTTTAGAATGTCTAGCAATTTGGATGAAAACTCCATAAATAAACAAACTAAATCTGAAAAAATTATGTAACTTCGAAGTTAACGTTAAGAAAATTGATAAAAGTTAATTTTTTAGTGTTAACGCGCATTACCAGTGTTCACTTGGAAGGTTTAGAAAAAACCATTGTCGAATATTTTTCTAACATTGACTCTGAGGATGTCTACAGCTGGATTACAAACCCGTTTTCATGTGACCCGAAAATTAAACCTACTGGGATGACAAATTAAGCTTTTGAAAACCTTTGGACATCAGTGAAGTCAGCACTTTGAATATTAAATACTACGAAGGGATCCAAGACAGTGCTGGATGCAAGTGTATGCAGAAACCACTGCTGTTGGCAAGATTGCATTAAAAATACTAGTGACTTTTTTTTTAATTTCTATGTGACACTGCATTTTCAGCAAACGCTTACATAAAAAACAAATACACCAGCAAGCTTTCAGTCAAATGATTTCAGGGTAAAATTGTCAAAGATCCCAATAAACCTAAAGGAAATAATGAAATCATTAAAAACAATTTCAGTCCTCAAATTAAAGCTAAAAGAGCATAAAATTTGCATAGCGTTTTCTTGTTTTCGTAGACATTCGAAGAGTAGGGGTGCGCGAATTTTTTTTAGCACAACAAGGGTGCCGCGGTGGAAAAAGTTTGGGAACCTCTGATGTAGTTCATCAATATCCTATTGCAATAAGAGTACTCATTTAAAAGCGCAAAACACTCGCAAACTGGGCAAACTGTGCAATTTTAAAACCCTCGAAAATGAAAAGTCAAAATTTGTATGGAAAGCCATTTGCACAAAAAGGGAAACTTTGCGCGGCAATTTTGTAGCACAACTTTGCGCAGTGTGCTGTGCAACCCTCAATCAGCTAATTTGTTTACATTCATTTTGGTTTGTGGTCAACGCTTTTTCGAAATAACTGCGGTAAGATGTAAATATTTACTCAAATTTGAATTTCAGTTGTTCAACTTTATAAATTAAGTATAGTCAAATAATTAAATGTCAGAAATTGCGTAAAATATAAAATTGTCCTCATGAAACCCATCGCGCAAAGTTGCCCAATTGCCCAAATATGAAACTTGCGCGTATATATGAGTACCCTTAATAATTGACTTCACAGTATACAGTCCGACAGTAATTTTGCCACTTGGTTCACTTCGCGTTTTATTTTCTTTCGAGATTATTTGAGGACACTTTGAAGATTATTTACTTTTTGCTGGTAATTTTTCTCTTTATATAGCTTTAGCTTTTCACTACATAATTAAAAATTTGTTTCTCTATCACTTTTTACGTATCTGCGCGTCTGTTAGGGATGAGTTGGAGAATGATGTTGGATATCAACTTTTGAACTATTAATTGGAGTTGGAGAAATATTTTTTTGGTGTTTATTGGGTTAGCTCTGATCCAATACTTTTCCTGTAAAATCCTGTAAAAATTTCAAACAGCAAAATTACTCTCTGAAATGAGTAAAAAGTGAAAATGAACAAAAAGTACGGGAACCAAAAAGGCATTTTTCCTGTAAAAACGTCAACCAGTTGTCGCTGGACACTTTTCATGATTTTACCAGAAGAAAAAGTTTGGGTAAAATCTTGCAATTTCATTCTCTACACAACTCACTCTCCAAAAATCGCTCTCATTTGCAGGATTTTGGAGTACACGATCATGTTTCCTGTAACGTCCTGCAAGTTCATGTAAAAACCAGTAAGTTCATGGAGTACAGGATCAGAGCTATTAAGTAAAATTATTTTTTTTAATTGATAATGCTGCAAGTGCATATATTCGAGTGTTATTTTAAATGCACATACATGTTTACATATCCCATACAAATTTAAATGTTAAAAATACTGTTCGGAAGTTCAAAGGTACACTGGTTGAGAGCTTGTTGGGTATACGGGCTAAGGAAAATTTACTAAAAATAATGTTTTTTGTTTAATTACTATTCGTAACACTAAAACACGTTGTTTTAAGTCTTCTTTATAAAACACAAACTAAAAAACAATCTCTAGAAGCCTGTACTCCCAAAATTTACTATCAATGATCTCATTTATTTGTTTACCAATCAACGAGAATATGCTTATTTGTTTTTTCCTCGTTACTATACATACATATGTATTATTTGAATTCATTCAATTTTTCTCTTATAAAAATTGAGTTCATGTAGGTACAAATAAAGTTGCCATGTTCCACAAGCTAGCCCAAGATGTTATGAGCGATTGTTATCGAAAGTTAAATGCAACTGGCAATAGCACCCTGAAATTGTGCATACGAAATAATCCATATGAAAAAAACCGAAATAAAGTATATATGCACAGTTTCGGTTGAAAACCGAAATAATGCATATGAGAAAAAGGAAGTAATGCATATATCCACAGTTTCGAATCAAAACCGAAGTATTGCATATAAGAACAAGTAAGAAAGTCTAAGTTCGGGCGGAGCCGAACATTAAATACCCGGCGCAAGTATTAAATATATGTTTTCCACCTTTCCGAAAGCTACCGCTACATGATAAGCCGGGGTGTATAAATTTTAAGTAAATTAGCGTCCTTAAATTTCGAAATATTGCAGTTTCAAGCATTTCTGAAATATACCGTTATATGAAAAGCGGCCGTAATTTTAGTCCGATTTCAATAATTTTCAACGTTTTGCTTTTATGTGGCAAGCACAATAACCATACCGAGCTTGGTACAAATTGCTAGAACGGTTAGCGAGATACATATATGTGATCACAAGTGGGCGGTGCTACGCCCATTTTCCAAAATTTTGTCATAAACGTATTTCTTGGTAAAGAATTGTTGCAATCATCAATTTTGAATAAATTAGCTTCAATATTTACTGATTTATCGAAGATTTTGTATTTCTCGAAATTACCGTTATATGGGATGTGGGCGTGGTTATTGTCAGATTTTAAAAATTTTCGGCCGTTTGGTATGCTGTGCCAGTGCCATCAACTGTGCCAAGTTTGGAAGAAATGTATGCAGCGGTTACCAAGTTATACACATGTAACCATAAGTGGGCGTGGCTACGCCCATTTTCCAAAA